GACAACTACTCACCTTGCCGGCTGGCACGCGGCGATTAGAAGAGAAATGTTCTTCTCGCCTAACGCGTCCAACGAGCTCCGACTGCTGAGCACCCGCAAAAGGGACCGCAAGGCACTCCGCAAGACATTCTCCGCATGGAACTTTCGATGTGGGCTTCGGCTGCTTCCCATCTCAACGGGTTTCACGGCATCCCTAAACACTGATGGAATAGACAATGTAAGCGGTTGCTCGGGGCCTACCCGCGAACGGCGTGCGTCAGTCGAATGTCTTCATCGAGTTCCAACACTAGCTTCTCCCGCCTGGCCGCTTCTTCGGCGAGGAGGAGGTGGGCGCCGATCTCTCTCCTCACGTCACGTGCGAGTCCCGGCAACCCTCGACGAGGGGAAGCGAACGTCATCGGAAAACAGCCAACAAGCTAGGAGTTCGAGACACTTACAAAGGAACGTTGAAACTGTGTAATAGGGAGAAGGAATGCGAAGTACATCTTTCCCTATGGGCACGACGCACAATCACCATCCTCGCAGTTTCAAAGACCAGCACCCATCACGACTGCAAAATTCCTCCATACGGAACCATTAATTGGTGCAACTCAGTTCATACGAATACAAGAATCAAAGAGAAGATTGTGATGCCCGCAACGGCTCAACGGGAATCTTAGCGTCTTCGGCGTCTGTCGTCCTCCTTCCTACGACCCTCCGAGTTCCTCATCAGGATGGCCAAAATTCGAATCTGCAGAGAGACATCCACAGAAACTTCCTCGCACGTGAAACTCTGATTCCACTCATGCATGAACAAGGTCCACCGGGAAAGTAACATGAGATCAACTGAGACTCACAAAAATAGCAACAAGGTCGGTGTAGAGTTCGCCTGCAGCCTTAATAGGGTCTCTGTAGCCGCTGTAGAAGGACTCAATGGCCACTTGAGTGTCGAGCAGGACGTAACCCATGAATACCAAGAGCATTCCATAGAGGTTCAAGTTGAATACCTAGATGCCTTTAAGGATAAGCAGCGCTGACTCTCCTGAGATGCACTACCAGGTTCGAACGGAAGAAGATATTCCCGATGTTGACTAAGGCCATGTACAGCATCACCGAGCTCAGAATCGAGCCTAGATAGAGCCACTCTCGCCTACGCGAGAATCTGACAACGTATCATCACGATCTCGCGACGGCTATTGGGACTACTACATGGCACACGCAGAAAGGCAGGCGAAGATGGCCAGTGTGCCGTAGAAGGCTGTCATAAGCAGGTCTGGGTCAATCTGCGATGATATGCGTAATAATTTGAGTCATGAGCTCGCTTCAAACAGATATTACCATCACCGAATAGTGAATGAGAGGTCCCAGAGAGGTTCCTTTCAAGAAGGCGAATCCTGCGAACATAGCCAAGCGCTTAGGGTCGATACGGTCGTTGTAGGGATCAGTGGTGTACATCGACCCCATCAGAAGAGCTATGGACATGATCGCGGTGATGAAGGAGCCTATGTGCGCAACCTGTCATAGTGAGCTACAGTGAACGAAACTATCCCACCCCCAATACTATAGTACATGTATGTGAAACCAACAGCCAGCTGCTGTGCATGCCACGCCGATCGTCAGAATCCCGTATCTGAACTCAGCTAAAATTGAGCCGTCTTCTATTTTTGACTAAGTGTCTCAAGCGCCGAGGGACATCTCCTATAGCGCCCTAGTTGAGACTTACATTTTCTGCAGATGCCTCCTAGCTGGAGCGTCCAAAGGCTTGAAGGTGAGAACCGCAGCCGGGTTGAACCTCGACGCGGTATTGAAAATGTTGGCGAAATTTTGCATAGTGAAAGCGCTGCCCACGACATAAGCCACAACTCAGCGAAAAACACAACAACTCTTCCTCAGTGAGTGACAACAACCACGGTATGTGAACACCATTGTTATCCGGAATTACGAAGTACTGCGAAAGCAAAAATCCGGTGGTACCAATACGCGACACAGGATCAACAGCACATCCCGCCTCTCTTGCATCTCCTCGCCCCGTTGCGCTTCTGAGCCTCCTTATCGGCCTCGCTCTCGATACCCGAAATGCCTAAACAGAGAGCCATGGACAAAATGCGTGTGCCAAGGAGATTGCTTAACACGTCGAAACTAGTAGTTGACATGCAATGCTAAACTGAACCTCTGCCCACCATAAAGATTCCCCACTCCTCCATCATAGTATGTGCCGTATGGGGTACCCGCAGTGCCGACAGTCGCGTAAGTGGGATACCTTTTCGAGACAAGTTTGGCGATTCGCGATTTTGTCAATTCGCTCACCCATATGGAGAAGCATAGTGAGGCTGCTCATAGGCGGCAGCATGTTCAGCTTGGTGCTGGAGAGCATAGGCAGCCCCCGGTTGGGCCGCGTATGTATATTCCCCAGGCGAGTTCTCCCTGACTTGAGCGCTGACAAGCGACGCAATCACGGCACAATGACGAGAATGGGGCACTACCGATGATGATCATCGGAGCGTCCATGCGAGGGTTTCGAGGGATCAGGCTGTTTACTGAAGACAGGCAGGCCAATCTACTCCCGCAGTACCTTCCCATACTACCCCGCATCAACAACGGTGTAGACGGGAGTCCGATTGGCAGCCGAACCTGGCATAGCTTGGCCTCAAAAAATCAACTGAGATCCACAGAAATCACATCGACACGGTAATGGTGCGGCCCGCGAGTGACAGACAAGACCGACAATAACACTATCAGCCTTTGTTCGAATGAGTAGGTCTCTAGTACTACAACGGTACACGGTCGCCGACCATGGCGGAAATGGAGCAGGATTCCCAACTATGATAGTAGTTGCAAGAGAAATCGCTGGGAATCGCACGAGCTGTACTGAGCCCAGCAAACGGCCAGGCCAGCCAACTCTCTCACCCGGAAGAACTCAAGAAGGGCATCACTGGCAACACGTCCGCACATCCCATACGGTAACATCCAGTTACCATTTCGATCCAACAATAGGACATGGACAAACCAACCACGGTTTACCCGCAGCTCCAAGTGTCTCCTCGACAACGTCAAGGCTTGAAGCTGCCGCAGTGAAGACCTCACAGGCAAACGAGCGGCAATAATGTCCACTGCAAACTCTTATGATGTACGACGCCAGATAGCTCCATATCATCCTGACATAGGACCATATTGATCTAGAAGGCATTACATCATGAGATCCAGATAGCTTCCATAGCAATACGCTCTCACAAATCGATAATCAGAATCTGGATCCAAGATCAATTTTGGTCAATGTAACTTTTCCCAACAACTATACACCCAAGCTGATGAGGAACAGACTCATTGAAAACGCAGCAACAACAGCAGCGAACGAAATGGAGTTCTCCAATCACAACAACAGTAAACCTACAATTCATGTCATTAGCAACAACCCATTTAGAACAACGACAACCACACCACTCCGATGTCTCGGCCACTGACGCTCCACTGCACACACTACGCAGTTCGGTGACTCTCCTACCCGCTGCAGCCCTTAGTCATCCTTAAACGTCTCAACCATTCTAACACTGGACCGGAACAGATAATATCACGACCGACGCGAAATGCGATACCACCGAAGTCTCATGAAGATCTAACATCGCGTGAAAAGAAGCGAACAAGCTATTCGACTTTGCTCGGATAAAGCGTAGCAATACAACCATGTGCGGAATATACATGCCACTGAGAAACCTCCAAAATCTCAAAGAGCGAGAGAATTTTCTCACTAGCGCAAAAGGTGGAACGATTTTCTATAAGCGACGATACCGACCTGCCCACTCACCGAACTGTGCCAAGAGGACTGCTTCGGGCGTTCACTCGCCCGTGAGGCATACAGATGGAAAAAGGGGAAGAACGATAATTCCACACAGCTCAACATTGACAACAAAATGCCCCTCCCCATTAACACAAACTGCCTAGCAGTTCACTCCGATGAAGCATTTACCACCACAACTGAACCACACCAACCAGCGTACGACCAAATATTGGAGCGGACGACTAGACAGATGAGTCCAGTAATGGTAACGGAATATCATCAGCACAATAATGGTAGTAGTTAGCTAATCGTATTAAAGGAAATACGATCATCCTATATAACTCTTATTATCATCTTAACAGAAGCTTTCCGACTCCCACCTTCAACAACGACATCAACCTCCCTTAGGGCGGCGACTGACGCGTTGAATGGAAGACGACTTACTGAGGAGCAAAGGAGCTGCAAAGACCGGCACCCTTCTCAGTGGCAGTAGAGGCAACAACAAGGCCGACAATGAGGCCGTATAGACCCAGAGCTTCGGCGAAGATCAAGATAAGGATCATACCGACGAAAAGCTTGGGTTGCTGGGCGTTGGCGCGAACACCAGAATCACCGACGATTCCGATGGCCAAACCGGCGGCCAAAGATGAGAGACCAACAGTCAAACCGGCACCTGACGAAAGAGGACAGAATCAAGCTCACTCTACTCCGACTGAGGACTTACCAAGATGGGCGTAGCCAGAGTACTGGGAGTAGGTAGCGGGGGTGTCCATCTTACCGTTAATAATAACGGAAGTAATGAGACCGTAAATACCCAAGACACCAGCCATAACGACAGGAATGATAGATCGCATCACGAGATCGGGCCTCATAACACCCATGGAGCAGATGCCGACACCAGACTTAGCGGTACCTAATCAATGGGGAGTTCAACCGCTTCGGAGGAGGCAGCCGACTCACCGTAGGCGGCACCGAGGTTGGCGAAACTGATGGCAGCAGTGATACCCATGAAACCGAAGAAAGCAGAGCTGGGCTCGCAGGCGGCAAGAGCGGTTGAGGCGGCGAACATATCCACTAGTAAGTCGTTGAAGAAAAACTTGAACTGACAAGAAGACTATGGGAGGAAAAAATACACAACCTCACTAAGCTGACGCCAACCGAACACAAAACTCCAACGTTTTCACACGAGGAAAAGATACACAACCATGCCTATAAGGACCGAACGGAAGCGGAAGGCGTTTCCCTTGCTGAGCATCACTCTGAGCTCGAGGGGGAACTTCCCCCCGAGTCGCACGAAGAAAACTTACCACGTTAGATGAGACCGGTTGCTAGCATCACTATCGAGATACAAGTCTATAAGAAAAACTCCAACAACGAGTTTGGCACACCTCACATCCTGCGCCCGCTCATCAGCGTCAGAATTCCAGTCCCTCAAGCATCACAATTAGACTTGGTAAATACTAAATCGTCTAGCAAAGCACATGTTCTTACCTACCCTCCGTGTTGGCATCAGGGAAGGGTGCCTCCCCTGAAAACAGACCGTCTAACCCGAGAGGAACAGTCCAACCGTTGACCTAAATGATGAAGTAAGAAATCTCATACGAGACGTCACGAGACATCGAGGCTGGAAGACTGGCGAGCTACGGCTAAAGATAAGCTGAATAGTGAAAACGGCTATTTGAGGAAATGCAAGAGTTCAAGATTGTCATCTGGTGGTCATCGGAGAAACCTTTCCACTCGATTTTCAAGGAGACTAGTCTGCAAAGAGCTCGATCATCTCGTTCGTGGGCTCTCTACTTTGGTCGCTACTGCATCACTCGTCCGTGAGTGAGGTACATTTGACATTAACTTGTGGTGAATTTTCAGGAGAATCTCATGAGACTTGCTGAGAGAATGAATTCCCCAAATCATGGGTGAATGAACTGAATACCATTTCCAACCGAATTCCGATCGACTACTCTGCAGGTCTATCTCATTACCACCTTAAGCCAAGTTTGCCTCGCATTCGGAGAGCAGGCCGACC